AGAAGGGATGTGTAATTGATTGTTCTCATAGCTCATCTCTTCCTATAGTGGAATAATATTCTGTTGTATATACGTATCATATTTTTCTCATAAGTCTAACCACTTTTTAGGCAGCCATAAAAGGTTTCAAAATTAAGACAGCACACAAAGAATTTCAGCCTTCAGGTTGCAAACTAGTCTGTGTCCACATGTCCTTATCTACCCAGAGAAGTAGGTGACTCTGTACATTTGCCACCAGAGGGAGCAGGGGAGCCTCCGGTGAACCCAGCTCCCTTCTGTAACTAAATTTACTCCTCAATGGTGACTCCTTCTGAAAAAATCCATTGGTACAATCAAATTATCATGTAATTCCTAATTGCTTTTGACTTAAAGACAACAGAATATTATTTATTTGGAGATATCACAACACTGCGAGAGGAATACGCATGTCAGAGTAAACTGTGGGCATATTGAGTGTAGTGGAGCAGGGAAACATTTTTCAAAGCAAATATGGGGAGACTCACTACATACAATTAGGAACAATAATCCTTGGCCACAGTGATAAATAAATGTACACTTGTCACTTTTCAGGCATGTGTCCTTGTAGACATTTTGTATATAGAATTTCAGTGGCCTCTGAGCAAGCTTGTGATGGCAGTTTTTGATCATTTGTATCATTTAAGACCCCTTCTTTTCAAGCCTCTCAACTCCATGTTTATTTTGTGTTTGATTGTTTTTGAGACAGGGTCTCACTGGTCATCCAGAATGGCCCCAATGTGCAGTGATCCCCCTTCGACGGCCAAGGCTGTAAGCACATGCCACCAACCACACAGAGCTTAGATTTTTTTTTTTTGATGTTAAAGTTACTGCATCTCGCCGGGCGGTAGTGGCACACACCTTTAATCCCAGCACTCAGGAGGCAGAGGCAGGTGGATCTCTGTGAGTTTGAGGCCGGGCTGGACTGATAGCCTCCAAAACAATACAGAGAAACCCTGTCTCGTAAAAACCAAAAAAAAAAAAAAAGTTACTGCATCTCCTCAACCTTACCCATTTTGTTCTGATTTCCTATTGCTAAAATGCCTTATTTGTATACTGTGGTTTGAACACATTCACACTGGATTCCTGTAGAGGGAATTTGTTTTGTTTTGTTTTGCTTTTCTGTTTTTTGGTGAAGACAAGAAAGGCAAACAAGGGTTTCTTCTACTACTACCTTTCTTTCTTACCAAAATCAAAGAGGCAGCCATCCTGGTGTATGTTTTGTTCTTCTCATACAGGTGTCTCGTCATTTGGCTACACATACATTTGTGTATCAATTCACTGGGTTGATGAATTCTTTACATAATGGCCTTTGTACCATACGGGGGGGGGGGGAAGAATATAACAAAGTTGGAGGAAAGATGTGAAAGAGTTTTTAAAATCTTTGAAGAAAATAGCTGAAAATAAACTTTACTGCCAAAAATGAGGGCAAAGTCTAATAACACTCTTAGAATCTTTGGAATTAATTTTCTTGTTTTCACGTGTTTGCTGACCATTGCTGGGCCAGTGTCCTACAGGTCAGGGCACCTGTTTTTTGTTGTTGTTTTTTTGTTTGTTTTTGTTTTTCGAGACAGGGTTTCTCTGTTGTTTTGGAGGCTGTCCTGGAACTCGCTCTGTAGACCAGGCTGGCCTCGAACTCACAGAGATCTGCCTGCCTCTGCCTCCCCAGTGCTGGGATTAAAGGCGTGCTGGCAGGGCACCTATAACCATTAAAGTTTTGGTTGTGCCTGGCTCTTGTTTGCATCTCTGTTGGATAAAAACCTCAGGATTGCCAGGCAGTGGTGCACATCTGTAATCCCTGCACTTGGGGACAGAGGCAGGCGAATGTTTGTGAGTTTGAGGCCAGACTGGTCTACAGAGTGAGTTCCAGAACAGCCAGGGCTACACAATGAAACCCTGTCTTGAAAAACAAACCAAACAAACCAAACAAGCAAACCCAAAATTCACCTCTGCCCCTAGAAGTGAGCATAATACAACATAACATAAGTAGGAATTCCTGTACTTGATAATCCATAATGCCTTCACACAAGGGCCATCAGTACAGCTGATGACACTAAGAAAAATAGTTATGTTTTATGTAAATATTATGGGATGATATTTGTGGTAAAGTGCTTCCAAATTCTAGAAACATTAAGGAAACCTGTCATTTTTACACTTCATACAACATAGAGGTGAGAACTCTAGGGCAATAGAAAAATGCAAGAGTAAACAGGTTAAGACTTTGGCAATGGAACTGTCAGAGGGGAAAGGCTGTGATATTAGATAGCATAGGTCAAGGTGCATTTCATTAAACAGTATTTTGTGCAGAGTACAGTAGGAGGTCATCAGAGACTTAGTTAAGTGAATATCAAAGGTTGGTGGGATGAAAGACTAAAGAAAGCTAGAAAAAAGTCCTAAAACAAATCAATGTCCATCTGAGTTGGAGGGTCATCAAGGAGGCTAGGTTGAGTGAAAGGCTCAAAAATAAGACAAAAGAAGGAAATGCTAGATCACACGCAAGCTGTTACTCTTGATGGCCAAAAGAGGGCATCAGATCCCGTGATTGGCGGTAACAGGTTTGCTGCCTGAAACAGGAGCTGAAAAATGAACCTAAGTCCTGTGTAAAACCTGCGAGTTCACTTACTCACTAAGCATGTCTCCAGCCTCACGAGTCCCCAGGTTCTGCATCTTTAACATACTTCCAGATGAAGCACCAACCATCCATAAGGAACAAATCTAAATCAGCATATGAAATGTTCTCAAGGGGGACCTAGACAACTATTATTTCTCTTGAACAAGAGTCTGAGATAATCTGTGTGCACTTGAACACTAAGAAGCTTCACACTTGATGGGTTGGCATTGGGAGTATTTCAATTAGAAATCTATACTTCAGAGACACGATACTATGAAAAACGCCCATCTCACACCTAAGGCAGACTAACAGCACTTGTAAGGATGTTAAAAAGTGAATTTTCATTGCCAAAATGAGTAACTTCAAGATAGGTCAAATAAGCTGAAAGGTTGCCAGCCCTCAGCCTTCCATTAGAGTATAAGAATCTTGTGAGTCCAAAGTCTGCATGCAGTTTTAGAGTTTCAGGTCAGGCTCATGTGCAGATGCTCTATAATTTTGTTGGGGGTATAGGACAGCACTAGGAAGAGAGTTCAATCAATAAAGTGCTTGGAACATGAGTCTCATCCATAGAACATATATTTTAAAATGCAGAGTGTTGGCAGGAGCCTGCAATTCCAGAGCCTGCAATCCCAACACTGGAAAAGCAAAAACAAATGGATTCCTGAAGTTCCCCAGACAGACATCCTAGCTTAATCAGTGAGTTTCAAGCCAGTGAAGCCTATCTCCAGAACATGTCCACTGCCCTGCTGAGGAATATTACCTAAGCTGTCCTTTGTCCTCCACACACTAACAAAGCTTTATCACCCAAGTCCAGTTGGGATAGCCAAATCAGTATGCCCCAGTACAAAACTGTTCCCTTTTGCAACAGAGTTAAATGTCCACTGGAGAGAATGATGAATATCCCCATTATGGAGAAACGTACAAGTTAACCTGTGGCCTCAAAATAGCTGAACTTAATCCAAGGATTTAAGTGGTGATTTATTTAGAGACCCGAGTGAAATCAGGGATAGGTAAATGAGTAGATAAATGGTGGGAAGGGAAAGTGTGACGGAATATTAGTTTAAGGTGTGTGACTTTTGTTTATGCTGCATTTGTTAACACTGTAAAGCTGTGATTCTTTGCCTGTCTAAAACATCTGATGGTCTAATAAACAGCTGAACAGTCAGCCAATAGCGAGACAGGAGCAAGGATAGGCAGGGCTGGCAGACAAAGAGTATAAATAAAAGGAGAAATGAGAAAGAAGAGGAGCCGCAAGAAAAGGAGAGAAAGCCATCAGGGGCCAGCCATCCAGCTACACAGCAATCCACAGAGTAAGGGTAAGATTTACAGAAGACAGAAAACAAAAGAGCCCAGAGGCAAAGGTAAGCAGGATAATTTATGTTAAGAAACAAGCCAAGATAGGGCCAGACATTCATAAGTAAGAATATGACTCCAAGCATTTATTTTGGGTGCTGGGTGGTGGGTCCCCTAAAAGTCAAAAGAGTGAAAAATCACACAACAGGAAAAGTGTCTCTTCCAGTTCTCATTCACTCAGCAGGAAATTTTCTTGTTAATTTTGAAGGCATAGAGTGGCCATTGTGTTTGGGAAAACGGGAAACAGGTTATCCACAATTGGACTTGGATTAATGATCAAAGAATGGGTGAGAATGCCAGCAAGAACTCAGGGCTAAGGGTACTGCAGAGAGGGTGAGTCAGGAAAGCAATTGTGTTGATGGCAGATTTCATGTGCTGGTTGAGGTGACTCAATTCTCTTCCTCCAGGAAAAAGGAACAAAATGATCAAGAGAATCCTGTCCTTTCTGTCTTCCAACTCAGTCTTAGCATGTTGACTTGCTTTTCAGTACTTGTAGCTGCTATTACTTCATTCATGTCTACATTCTTTACCCGGAAGGCAGAGGCTTTCTGTGAAGTACTGACCCTCCTCCTCTGCTATGTCTCATTGGTCACAACCTACGGCCACCCACAAGCAGATTGGGGCGACCATTTGGTCTCGGGTTATTTTACTGAAGGTGAACAGACGAGGAGATAGAGAATGTCCGCGACTGTGGGAGCTAGAAACACTATAGTGTGTGTATTGTCGCCTTTTCCTCCTCTTCCTCTTTTCCTCTCCCCATTATCTCTTCCCCTCTTCTCCCCGCACCCCTTCGGTCTTGAGGAATCTCAAGTCATAAGCCTGAATCACCATGATTTCTGACAACTTCACCGGTGGTTCCAAACAAACAAAAATCTTCGCTGGTAGCTCGGCCAATCAAGTGGCCAGGATGCGGAGAGTCACTACCGGAAAAGTTCAGGCTCAACACCAAACTCCTCCTTTTGCCCCGCCCCTTTATTACCGTACTTGTTTGAAGCCAGAAGCGGCCATTTTGGATTGGGGCGGAAATGAAGTCAAAGCCGGCCGGTTAAAAACCCAAACATTAAAACTAGGACACCTGTGCAACCGAGCTAAAAGCACACACCGGCAGGTTTCTTTGCAGCCAGAGCCGGCGGCTGGGAGCAGGCGCGAGACGCTGGCTTCCCTGGCGCCCACACCTACAGATGACTCTGGCCCGAGCATCACCTGTGCGGCCGCTCTAGCTCTGTTCCGGGTCCGCGCGCCTCAGTGGTGGCGTCGGAGGAACTGAAGGCCGGTGTGTTGACCCGTTTCCGGGCCCGTCTGGTGCGGTCTGAGCCGGCTGTGGGTCTGGGGCCTAGGCCTGGGTGTCCGAGCCTGCCGCGGGTGAAGAGGGCGCAGAGCCGCCAGCCTCCTCCCGCCGCCCGCAGGTAACCCGGGGGCCGAGCGGCGGGGCAGGGCGGGAGCGGGGTCGCTGCCGCTCGCGGAGAGCGCTGGCGCGGCCGGTTCGTTGAGCGCTGTCTCCTCCGGCTTGTTCGGGGTACCCTGTCTCCGGCGTCTCGGGGGACCCCCGCCGTCGCGGCCGAGGCCACAGGGGAGCAAAGAGGCCCGGTATGGAGTCTAGCGGGAAGGTCGCGCGGGGCAGGGTCTCAGACAGCGCCAAGCCCCCAGGGCTTCATGCGTAGAGGACGGGTAACAGGTATCTCCCAAAGTCGTTTTCGCTGAATTTGGGGTCACAGTTGCCGCTGGTTTGAGGGGCTGGTGTGTATCCTGCGTTGAGGTCAGACGGAGAACTTTTGTCCAAACTACTTAATAGCTAGCTAGCACTGTGGGGTGAGTTCTTGACCCGCAGCATACATGGCTGAACCGTGGAAGCACGGGGCTGCTAGTCAGGGTTACCACTCCGTCTCTGAGGGCCGCGAGTAAGGCAAGTCCTTAGGACTCCTGGGGCAAGCCCTAAGCTTTGGCACTTTGAAGCTAAGGAAACTGGAGCCAAGAGAATCTCTACTAATTGTTGGGAGAATAACTAACAGGGACGTATTTCTCTCAGAGGACATCGGTTTTACGGTTGAGTCTAGAAGTTGTCTAGGGACCTAGGCAAGGGTGCTTCCCAAACACAGGTGGTCCCTTCTGAAGCGTCACCTGAAGCCAAAGAATGAAAAAGATTGGAGGAAAATAGGTAAACGATGGCTGTTTGTTTGTTTTGGTTTTTTTGTTTTGTTTTTTTAAGACAGCTGTGGTGTATATTCACACCCGGGGAGACTGTCAACTCGACGTCTGGTTATAGAAAGAAGTGTTGTATTCTGTAAATGTCTGTTACGTTAGAATATCCTTTCCTGCCTTCCATTTCAAATGTACCTGACACTATTTCATATTTTCCTCCTTACTCCCCACACCAAGGAAGAATATTTGGAGCTCGCAGTGCTGTGTATGTCTTGCATTTCAGTAAGTTGCTTTCAGTTCAGTTCTTGGTTTTAAAAGCACTGTTGCCTCAGTCGCATCCCTGCCCCTAGATACAGTTGTAGGAAGACGCAGTGACCACTTTCAGGTGCTCTCAGATCCAGACATCCGTTCCCTTCCCTGCTGCCCCGGGCAGCACTGCTGCTCAGTCAGCCTCACACTCGATGCTGTCAGTAGACAACCCTCAGCATCACCAAGCGTTCGAAACAGCAAAAGTAAGAGGCACCCCACGCCTTTTAAAAGTAGCTTTTCTTAGGACCATAGGCAATACATCCGATGTGAACAATGACAAGTTTTAGTATCTTTCTAATCTTGTAAACCTAAAGTTTTAATTGTCTTCGCTTTGTATTTACAATTTTGAATTAAAAGTTAATAGATGCCCTAAAGCTCAGTAGTCCAACAAGGACCTGTTTTACCATCGGAAATAAGTAAATTAAATGTCCATTGTCCTTGCCTCAGATAGCACAGCTCATGGCTCTCAGAGACCACAAGTCTCTTCAGGACTAATGATGAAAATATTCATCTGCTTGTAGTTCCTTGTTCTCTTTTTCCTTTATTGTTGATTTTGAAAAGTTTTATTTTGTAGTGAGCCAAGAATGCTGCCAGCTTCACATACTTTTCAAAGTAGCCCTTCCCTAACCCATGCCTATGATCTCACTGGTCTTTAAAGCAGGAGTTACAGTAGAAATGGCATTGGTTTCAAAGAGTGTGGGCCTGCTCAAGCCAGTCAGGGAAGTTGTAGACTCTTAAGAAGTTAATCAGTGAAAAAACTGGATTAGAAGCCGGCTGCTCATCCTGCAGGCCTGAGACAGGTCTGAGATGGGGGTGCTGGTGTGTGTCTATGAAACAGCCGTTCCCACAGCCGAGCTTGTTATCCCACTGACCACTCACTTCCTGAGTGCTGCCAAGGTTTTGCTCCCACGTGGCCTTCTTTACTCTAGTGCCGGCTCCATGTCCTGGTGGCCCCAGCTCTGCCTCCTGGTACCCACAGCTTCAGTGATAGAGGAAAAACCTTGCCCAGTTCAAATTCATGGAGGAGACAGTGGTCTAACCAGTGTGCCCCTTGGTTCCGGTTATGGATACTGAAGCTAGTCTGTGAGTTGACTGCTCTTTGACCCAGAAAAAGTCATTAACTCTGGCCAGGGAGCATGGGGGAGGCCCTCACAGCAGGCATTACCACATCTCCAGCAGAGCAGAATTACTTCTCTCCTTTATCCTGCATGAACCATTTTTATTTGTTCCAATAAAAAAGTGGAAGTTTCTTATAATTGAGGTTGTTGGATGTTTTGGTGTTGTTCTTAATGTCATTTCTTTTTACGTATTTTTACTGTATGAAATTATGCTTTAATTATATCATTCCCCTCATTTCCTTTCCTCCCTCCAATCCTTCCCATGCATCCACATCCCCACTGTTGTCCCAAATTCATGGTGTCTTTTTCTGTTATGTGTGTGTATTCCTAAATACAGAAATACAACCTGCTCAATCTGTGCAGTATCACCTGCATCTCTGATCTCAAGGTGAGCCACTTGCATTGGGTACCCAGTTGGGAGCTCTTCCCTTTGAAAAAGCACTTGCTGGCTCTCAGCATTCCCCGGTTGCCTATGGTTCTTTGGCTAGGGTTGGGGGTTGCGTGAGCTTCCTCCCTTTCCCTTTCGTGTGAGCATGTCCATTAGTGTCCTCATTGTTCGGTCTTCTTTAGGCAACCATGTTAATGAGACTGGATGGTATCCCTCTTTGACTTTCTAGGAGATATAATTCCTCAGCAAACTTCCTGCTCCTCTGGCTTTTACAACCACTCTCTTCTTCAATAATCCCCGAGTCTAAGAAAAATATTGCTAGGTATGTCAAGGCTCAGTGCATTTACTAAAGAGCAAAGTTAGTTCTCACCTACAGACAATCTTAGATTTCTGTAGCTTTTTGCCCTAGTGCATTTTGTGTTCCTCGTATAGTAATGTGTGTGCATCTGCACACATTTAAATTCTGTGATAGGCTTGTATTTTAGGCATCATTACATAATAACAAATTATTCTGTGGCTCTTCAAGAGGGAAGAAAATCTAAGATATGTGTCATGATTATTAGGTTTGTATTTATATAAAGACTACTTTTTGGGGCTTTAAAACAGGCTTTCTATGTGAAATCCTGGCTGTCCTAGAACTCATTTTGTAGATCAGGCTGACCTTGAACTCAAAGATCCACCTGACTCTGCCTCCCAAGTGTTGAGATTAAAAGCATGCACCACTACCACTGTCTAAGACTATGTATATTTAACTGAAAAGCTTTACAAGCCTTTATAGAAATTTTTGTGTGATTGGGTTTGGAAGGAAGTCCCTGTGGCTATTTGGTAACACACATTTTCTCTGGAGTTGTTTGTTGTTAATTAACAAGCATTCCTGATAACTTGCTGTTTGTTAACCCATTGTATTATCGAATGCAATTTTTAGCTCTGCAGGAATGATGAGTAAGTCTCAATGGACACTTTGGGGTGGATAGCCACCTGGCTTCTTTTTTTTTTTTTTTTGGTTTTTCGAGACAGGGTTTCTCTGTGGCTTTGGAGGCTGTCCTGGAACTCGCTTTGTAGACCAGGCTGGCCTCGAACTCACAGAGATCCGCCTGCCTCTGCCTCCCGAGTGCTGGGATTAAAGGCGTGCGCCACCAACGCCCGGCAAGTATGCTGCGACCTGGCTTCTATTGCAGGTAGATGCTTGATGTTCTCATTTGTCTCTGCTGTGTTGTAGATCTGTTTGACTTGAGGAGGAGCTGCAGTACTGCCTTGCTGCAGAAGGGATGGGATCAGAGAACAGTGCTTTAAAGAGCTATACACTGAGAGAACCGCCGTTCACCTTGCCCTCTGGACTTGCTGTTTACCCCGCCATACTGCAAGATGGGAAATGTGCCTCGGTGTTTGTGTATAAGAGAGAAAATGAAGACAAGGTTAACAAAGCCGCCAAGGTACTGTGATGGGGTTGTCTTCATAGGACTTTTAAATCTGAGGTTTCCTCTCAAATGAATTTCATAAAGGTCAAGGGCGATAATGGTAACAAGCAGTGGTGTTTTATTACTCAGTGTCACATAAAAACAGTTGTCTGTCTCTAACATACCATCCCGATAGCCAAAGATTTCACAAAACTTTTGATAGCTTTTATCATGATGCTTTTAACGAGAAAGGTAGACAGGTGATTTCATACTGCTAATCTAAGAGATGAGATTCATCTAGTTTAACAAAAATGCTGCTTATTGATATTTTAATTAGTGTGTGGGTATGCTTGAAAATAAAGTATTTTAGAGATTTTATATTATCTTTCTTGCCCTGAAACACTGTAATGTCACAGCATTTTTACAAATATTTGTATCCTTTGTGTATGAATATTTTGCCTGCACGTATGTCTATGGGCCATTTGCATTCATTTGGTAGCCGGGGAGGTCAGAAGAAAGCATCTGATCCCTTGGAACTGTTAGGGTTAGGGTGAGGTGCCATGTGGGTGGTGGGAGTCACACCTGGGACCTCTGCAACAGCAGCCAAGTGCTCTTAACTGCTAAGCATCACTCCAGCCCTTGTCCCAACATTTTCAATTTCTGTGTTGGATTGGATACCACGGAAAGAATGTTCAACCTACCTCTGGTTCTTGGTAAGAGACCTTACAGGGTCACTGACTTCTGGAGGCATCTATTTTTAGCTCCAGTAAGAAAGTCCTTTTTGGCCCTGGTCACTGCCACCGTTGGTTGAGAATATCATAATGGTCAGTTTGCTATGTGATTTCATGTCGGGGGACATTGACGGTTTAGAAGAAATGATGCTTAGACTGGCGGTGTAGCTCATCCATGTAGTATGCCCATGAGCACATATATAAACGGAGGGTTTTTTTTTTATCCCACCTGGTCCTGCAGCCACTTTTAAAATAATCACTGAGACTTAATATTAATTACAAACCGTTTTTGCCTATTGCTTGGGCATATTACTAACTAGCTAATACATCAGATTCACCCATTTCTATTAATCTATGTATTGCCACATGGTCGTGGTGTTTCCAGTCTGCTGGCATCTTGCTACTCCAGCAGCTCACTCGCATCTGCTCAGACTCTGCCCTTCTTATCCTGTATCTCTGCTTGGATTTCCCACCTCTCTCTATCCTGCCTTGCCATAGGCTAAAGCAGCTTCTTTATTAACCAATGGGAATAAAACATATTCACAGGATACAAAAGGGTTATCCCATAGCAAACATGGATCTGTTCTCACCACACACACACACACACACACACACACACACACACACACATATATATATAAATGAGAGAGGGAAAACTACCACAGAAAAAAAGAATGATCCCATCCCATCTTGGAGCAGTATTCAATAAACACGTTTGTTTGTTTGTTTGTTTCTTAAGGAAAACAGTGCCCTGTGCCGGTAGTTCCTTATGTAACCAACTTTTGCATATTTTCTAATTCAGATCATCTTCAAGGAGTTTCTAGAGAGAAAAATTCAGTTGTGTTCATGAATGGGAAGTTTTCAGTTTTGAACTGATAGCTGTTTTGTTTGAATAATGGTCTGTCACTCTGAGTTCGTTTTCAAAACTCAGTAGTTGTAGAACATTGTTTCCCAAGCTCTTTAAGTAGTTTTATTTCCTTAATGGCTATAAAAGGTTATTCTGGTAATATTGGTATTTCATAGTTCACACTAGATATTTGATATTTTATCTTTGACTAAACACAAAACTGATAGTTAAAAAGATGTTTCCTAAGGAAAAGGAAATGTGTAACAATCTTCTTAGGACACATTTTTCATTTTGTGAGTGTATGTGTGCATGTTCACGTGTGCTTTACTGTACTTTACTCTTACATGCAGTTATCATTTAACGTGTTCATTTACTTTCAACTGTTAGACTGTGTATGTTGTGTTTTATAACTTGGAGTGACTATAGCCAGTGAGGTAGTAGGCTTATAATCTTTTAGTTCCTCCTGTTCTTAAGACTGTTAAGGGATTTTAATTACTACCTTTTGTAGAATATGGGCCCTGAAGTAAAAATAGCGTGGTTCATGAATTTTTTAAAAGGAAAATTCACAAAGATCTGCTCTTGGTAATGCAGATTTTTGTACTGTAAGAAAGCTTAAGTGTAAAGACTTTACTCACCTTCGTATCCACAGATGCCCTGTAAGTACTGGCTGAGACCTTGCAGATAGCCCCTACTTGTTTCTTCAGCCATACATTGAGAAATTTGGAACAACAAAATGCTGAGAAGTTGGTATTATCAGGATAGCCTTGAGTCTGAAGAACTGATCATAGTACTTAAGAAGTGTATGGCATACACTATATTAACTTTAGGAATTAACTTTTATTTGTTTGAAGTAATTAGTTTCCCTTGTTGTTTCTGAAGCAGAGTCTAGCTTGGACATCACTTCATAGAACAGACTGGCTTCGAACTCTCACTGACCCTCCTGTCTGCCTCCACAGTGCTGGGTTAGAGTATACCACCATACACTGACCCTCCTGTCCTCCACAGTGCTGGGTTAGAGTATACCACCATACACTGACCCTCCTGTCCTCCACAGTGCTGAGTTAGAGTGTAACACCATACACTGACCCTCCTGTCCTCTTCCACAGTGCTGGGTTAGAGTGTAATACCATACACTGACCCTCCTGTCCTCCACAGTGCTGGGTTAGAGTGTCTCACCATACACTGACCCTCCTGTCCTCCACAGTGCTGGGTTAGAGTGTCTCACCATACACTGACCCTCCTGTCCTCCACAGTGCTGGGTTAGAGTGTCTCACCATACACTGACCCTCCTGTCCTCCACAGTGCTGAGTTAGAGTGTAACACCATACACTGACCCTCCTGTCCTCCACAGTGCTGTTTTATAGTGTACCACCATACTCAGCTGTAGAATTAAGTTAAAATTTTCATCATATGAAGCATCTATTAGGAATAGAAAATCCAGAGCTAATGGGCTATAACAGAGCCAGCAGCAGTGGTTGTCATAACACTTGCTTAGCAAGCAGGTAACCCCCTTATTTGACCTCAAGTTTCTAGTTTCTTTCTTCTCATCTGCCTCTGAAGGCTAGCTCCAATCTCAGTTCATTTTTCACACCAAAAAGGGAAGAACCACTATAATTTTAACCCCTGTATTCAAACAAAATAGACTTGTTACCCATCCATGAATATTGTGTATTTTTAAGGAACCTGATAGGGAAGGGGGATTTTTTTTTTTATATTAGGGGTTTCTAAACATGAAACCAGAGGCTTCTACATCATAATTCATTGTAATTTGAGGGGAAAAAATAGGACTAGGCTTTTAATTTCATTCTTTTAATATTTTGGTATTTAGTGTGTAACTCTGGCTCCTGGGATTTGCCTAGGCTTCCTGAGTGCTGATTAAAGGCCTGTGCCACCATGGCTGTGGGTTGTTTTCTAGTATTTCCTTGTGTTAAATGTAGGTGTACATATGACATATATGGCATTTTTATTGGTGAGATTAAAAAAGCATGGCAATCTCTTTTCAGATAATAAAAGGTTTTTTAAAAGCTGAAATATTTTAACAGGATTACATATTTGATAATAGGTAAAGAGTTAAGAAAATAAAATATTTAATAAAAGCGATATATCCCAGTGATGGGGTCTGCAAATGACAGGCCAGGATGAGCTAAGAATGTCTAATTTTTTTAAAGGGACTTTTAAAAATTGGCCCCAGAAGCCACATGTCCTTTAAGCATAAAATGTTTATCCCACTCTGTGTTAACTGAAGTTCTTACATTTGTGTATTGGAGATTTGGACCCAGTTTATATTTTTAGTAATTGCACTTTCCTTATGCCCCTACTTTCCCCTTTTGAGGAACTTCATTACCTGTATAGACCTTTTGTTATTGTCACACAGGTTCCTCTCCAGCTGATCACTGAACAATTGTTCTGTTCCTTGGATTAGTTAATATTATCTTCAGATTTTCCGACTCTATCCTATGTCATATTCATACAGTTAATGAATTTGTAACTTACGTTTTTAATTTCCAGTAATTTCCCATTAAAAATGGATCTCATTCTCAGGCTGGATAGCTTTTGAGTTCCCTTTTAGGTATTTTAATGTGTGACAGAGTTTATTAATTCTGCCACTGATTTTCTAATAATGCTCTTTTTAGGCTTGATGTAGGAGGCAGTTAGCCTTCCTTAGGTTCAGACTTCAAATTCCCAGGAGTAGCAGTTCAAATTTCTATTCCTTCCCTGAGCCTTTGCCCTTCTGCTTAGGCCTTTCCCTGTGCCAGCTTGCTGATTCCAGACTTTGAGGATTTGTGGCTCCGCAGAAAATTAGTCCTTTCCTTCCCCAACTCTCTTTCCTTTGGGACAGCATCCTTATACTCTGCCCTTCCTGGCTTCCTTTCTGATTCTAGCCTGAAAGATAATGAGGTTTTTGGTGCAGTTTTGGGACCCTTCCTACACTGCTTCACAGCTGAGGCCTGCTGTTAATGTGTGGCTCATTACAAGGAGAGAACTGGGCTGCATTCGCATAACTGCTTTGCCTCCGTTCCATAGTCGGATGCTTTGGAGCCTTCTAGGGTCGTTTCTGGCGTTTATCCCAGTTTCGTGATAATGGTAGCTGAAAGGTGTGAGAACTCAGGAGGCTAAGGGAATAGGAAGTCTGTAGAGTTACTTAAATATTGGTAAGTTGAATAAAGTTAGAACAAATTATAGATTCTTCTTTTGTCCTCCTTGAAATCTGGGGGAGCATAGGGAAGTTGAAGGGGCCTCAACAAAAGCATGACTTTTATTACAATGTGTTTGAGACTGTAATGAATCTGGTTTGTCATTAACTTCACCAACTCTTCTATTTGTATTTTAAAGCACTTAAAGACACTTCGTCACCCTTGCTTGCTAAGATTTTTATCTTGTACTGTGGAAGCAGATGGCATTCATCTCGTCACTGAGAGAGTGCAGCCCCTGGAAGTGGCGCTGGAAACCCTGTCTCCTGCAGAAGTCTGTGCTGGAATCTATGACGTATTGCTGGCTCTTATCTTCCTTCATGACAGAGTAAGTGGATTGACAGTCTCCCTCACAGGGCTGATGGGGGCTGAGGTGTACTTAGAGATTGATACAGAGAGAATCGCAGACGAAAGTGGAAGGACCAAGAGATCATGCAGCTAGTTTGTAGAATCAGCAACTAGTTCTCTGTCCCTGAGCGGATATTTAGACAGTGTTCTCTCAGCTTACTGTCTACCTTTTGTTTTAGGTAAGTCTTTATTTAAATATAACTACAGTCAGTATTGGTTAAGAGAAAGACCAGGCAGTAGTGTTGCTATAAACCAAAGCTCCTGTTTGTTTTCAGAAGTTCTGCTCCACTTTCGATCTCTCTTAGGAAGACATGGTGTTTCTTTCTGCCTGGGTGAATCCAGTGAAGAGACAGTCCCATAGCAAGGTGGTGTAGCTAGTAAGCTTGACTCTGGTGGTGTCTGGGATTGCAATGTCGGTTCTGTGTTTATTTCTATCTGCCTGTTGTCACTGTTTCTGAGCTGAGTTTATGTGGTCTTTGCATTCTGAAGTACTAGGTCTTTGGCAGTCTGCAGAGATGGGAAAGCTGCATCCCAGGCTACACACGCTGGCACCAGGCTCATCTTAGGCCCTTAGAGCTGTTTCTGTCAGTGGGAAACAGGCTTTCCAAATGTCATGTGCTGTTTATAATTTCTTAGAATTTCAAAGTCTGTTGGGGTTTACATGGCAACAAGAATTATTACTGCTTCATTGGGGAGGAATGTCTTTTTTGTTGAAAATGTATCTGTAATAAAAAAGCAGCAGGACTGAGAAGGCAAGTTAAACCTCTGTCCTATCCTTGGATCTAATCTTTTCCAGAGGCAACTGTGGTACTCAGTACATTATTCCAGAGAAAATCTGTATGTATATCAAGCAAATGCCATTTATTCTTATTTTTCCTCAAGCACATCATACATGTTGTTAAAAATCTTCCTTTACTATATATATTGTGTATAAAATGCATGCACATTGGATCGTATGAGTAGAATACTTAGTATACTTATTGTGTACTAGAATGAATAATTCCTGGTTTGAAAAAGAAATTTAACTACTCAAACCCTGTTCTCATTTTCTCCCTTCTTTGCATTTGAGTATACTATTTTTTTCTTTGAGTTTTAAGCTTGATTCTTCTATGGTGGGTGGGTACTTTTCTGGTGATCCTTGTCATTTCATTTCCTCCTCTGGCAGGATTTTGTTAGTGCCTGCTGGCTGCCAAGCTTTCAGGTGACGTGGTCTAGGTTCATGACAGACTATAGGCAAGAAAGACTTTAGGGGAGAAGGTGACATAACCTGCGGGAGCTGTGATTCTTTCTGTTTAAGGCACTGGAAGCAAGTGACCCAGGCTGTGGAGGCTTGTGCATGTTTGAGGACATGTGTGGAGTGACGCTGTCTGTGCATTGGCTTTGGTGTCTTCCTGACCTTCCTGCCGAACAGGGGAGCTAGCCAGCCTTTCCCTTCTTAGCTGCATCTGGTTTGTTCATTTAAGCACAGCTCTATACGTTATGTGGCAGGCGCCAAACACCGCATTGATCTGTGTGTGGTAGCTAGTATGGAATTGCTTAAAACCTTTAGGTTTTGGGGTGTCAGTCTTCTTCCTGTTCTGCTTGTCTCTTTCCCAGGGACACCTGACACACAACAATGTCTGCTTATCTTCTGTTTTTGTGAGTGAAGATGGCCACTGGAAGCTTGGAGGCATGGAAACAGTGTGCAAAGTTCCTCAGGCCACACCAGAGGTGAGCCATGTAGCAAGCAGCCCTCTTCAAGGAGGATATGATGGTGACTTCACATGAGGTTCTTACCAGGCCGCTTTCCTTCACTGTTATGATTGTAGATTTGAAGACTTAACTCTCTGTTAATGCTCATGTTGAGAAGATTGTAATGTTTATTCCTCAGTAAGTTCTGACGTTCACGTAGTCCCTTCTCACTTATATGTAAAGAGCCTGAAGCTAAGAGGTAAAGGAATGGTCTATCCAACACGGAAGCCAGTTGCCACCTCTTTGTTCCCTCTAAGTACTTTGTCCTCCACTATACTTATGCTTAATGCTGAGGTCAGTTTTATGTCTCCTGTCCCAGCAGCTGAGTGTCATACTTTTTATATATCTTCCTGGAACAGTACCTGTCTATTACGAGGCCAGAAGTACTCACTGAGCAATGTCTTAAGTTGCCCACTGTCAGTAAACTATATTGTATGGAGTTGTGGCCTGAGTTGTTGCTTCTGTGGTACTTCCTATACATTTCCTCCTAGGAGACAAACTGCTCTATTCTCTATTTTGTTTCTCTTCACCATTTGCATGCTGTTACTGACTCATTTTTTCTAAAAGAAATAAAAAAACACTCCCTTCATAATGCCTCTGTGGAAGTATCGACTGTCTTTTTTAAAGGGTGTGTGTCGTGTGTGTGTGTGTGTGTGTGTGTGTGTGTGTATGTGTGTGTCTTGTCTGTCGGTTGTCTGTGCATGTGTGTATATTCTACATTTATGCAGGAGCCCAGGGAGGTCAGAACAGGATGTCAGATTCCCTGGAATTATAGGCAGTTGTGAGTCGCCTTTAATGGGAGCTGGGAGCTGGCCTCTGGTCCTCTGAAGAGCAAGAACCACTCTTAACTGCACTATCTTTGATGTGTTGGTTCGGTCTGTCTTCTTGGGCTGTTTCTACACTTAGGCGTTGTGTAATGGATACCTTCATGAATGGTACTCTGTTCCGATGCTGCCAGTTCTGTAAATACTCTCTCATTACTTCTGTCTCTGTTGCATAAATTCTTTGCCATGGCACACACAGTTCTTCACAATACCTGCCCATCCTACCTCAGCCCTGTTCAGTCCCATACGGAGCGGCTCTGATGCTCCCGTCTCCTGCTATGGTTCCCCTTCTCCCTCCCATTGGCCTCCTAGAAAATGGAAACGCATGTTAGATTGAACCTAAGTCCATGTCTGAATCCTTCCCTGTCTGAAAGAATTCATCACTACTATGACTACGTGGCACGCAGCACATCTATTAGACTTGGAGCTTTTCTCCTGGTTGTAAGCACTTGTTGAGAACAGAAGAGTTTTCGAATCAATTTCACAGTCCTTGTGCCCTAAATGGCATTTTGAACATGTAAGCTTTTCAGAAATAATCTTTGAATAGGTGAATAGGTATGCCTATTCAGTGGGTGGTATTTTTATCTGTACAGCACATCGGAGCCTCAGCTTTAATGTCTTGTGACAGCAAAACCTGATTCCCATGATGTAGTGGTACATGGCACATTTTTGTTATGTGCTGACCACTGTGTCTTCCAGGCTGGTCTTGAATTTACAGGCTCAAGTAACCTTCCTGCCTCAGCTTCCTTACTAGTGGGCACTACAGGCATGTGCCACATCTGACCAAAAAAACCTTTCAGTATTCCAGGAGCCTCTGACAGCAAAGCTGTCATTCAAACCATCCGATGGGAGAAGAGCCGCCAGCATTCCTGTCTCCTAAGCACTGTGCTGTGTTGGGAACTATTTCACATTGAATTAAGAAGCTTTTAAGTTTGTGTATTAAGATGTGTGGCATTGATTGAAAGGTTTCATGGCTCCTGCTTCCCCTGCTTTTTTCTTTTTTAGACTGAACTAAGATTAATTTTCCAAATGTGTTATGAGTTACTTTTCTTTGTCTAGTTTCTCAGAAGCATCCAGTCAGTAAGAGACCCAGCGTCTATTCCTCCTGAGGAGAAGGTGAGTGAAGACCCCTTCGTGCAACTGTAACTCACACTCTTCTGTGCGACAGTGTGAAACAAAAATTCCCCTGCCATCCCCTCTGCCCATTCTTTACTGAGTATTGGATTCCTCATGATGCATCTGACCTTGAAGATAGATGTCTGAGATTAAAATTAATCTATCACATAGGGAGCCAGCCCATGGTTTTTATTAAGACAGAGCTGCCCAGTGTGGTGAGAGCATCATTTTATTTCATCCTTGTACTTTGCTGGAGGCCACCATTATGAGAGAGACAGTGATCTCACCCTTTCCTTGGCATCATCTTCCTAGCTAGTCACTAGCTGGAACGCCAGGGCATTAGAAGAGTGATTATTGATATCAGGTATAAGGAAAGGGCCAGTTACTAGGGAATCTAGAAGGTGTGCCCCCCCACACACAGTCTTTTACAAGACCTAAGTTAAGCACCAATCTCCAGAGACAATGTTAATGTGTTAATGCAAGCCAAACTCTAAGGTTAAGAGACCTAAGATTTGCAATCTCAGGGTTAGCCAGATCTGTTTTATATGCATAGACTAGAGAGCTTTTAAAACTGATGATTTGTGGATTTTAAGTCAGTTGGCCAGTATTTTGAAAAAGTTGAAAATATCACTGGGTATGCCAGATTATAAGAAAAAACATTGTTTTATAAACTTTGGTTTTCATTGTGTGTATATAACTATTAGATTATGTATAGTATGTTTTACCCTGGGTTACAGACACATTTCAGAAAGCCATAGATAAACAATATCTTTTGGTTCATATATGGTGTTTTTAAATCTTTGATAAGTTACATCAACTAATATTTCAAAGTTTTTCCATATTTGGGAGAGACCTACTATTTCATAATAGTTCAGAGTTTTCCATTTTTGAGAGAGACCTACCATTTTAATTAACATAGAATTGCACTAGTTTGTTACCGTACTTGTATATTACCATGAAGTTAGATTTGAGTATAATAAATGCAAACATGGGAGAATGTTGGAGACAACTTATAGAGTAGGTCTTCACATTCTAATAGTTTTACTGCATTTAGTCTCCAGAATTTGCAGCCCTTCCAGAGCCCCATGGACATGCCCGAGATGCCTATTCCTTCGGAACTTTGGTGGACAGCTTGCTCCCCATCTTGAAAGAGCAGGGTGAGTTGGAGCTGTACTGCCACATGCACAGACTAGGAAAGGCATCCCCACCCGCTGTGTGGAAGTTCAAGGACTAGTCTTCAGTATAGTGGAGAACCTGCTGCTCACCACAGTTTACTCAGGACATAGAACAGCAGCAGGAAGGGGAGAAACGGGGGGGGGTCCATAAGTATGAATAATAAAAAAGAATTTGAAGTAAGAAGCACTTTGAAAAGTGGCTGTCCCCATCTCATGTGATTGTCTTCTGAGTTCATTACTGAGTTGTCTTGTGGCAAAGAAATGCCCTTAGTAACTGAGATGTAATAGCCTGAATAGTAGAGTAAGACTCTACTGGTCAATTAATTCCAAACCAGGCTTAAACTTTATTCCTTCAAAGTCATTCATTGTTTTCTGCTATAATTTACTTAGTATTTTTTCTTGCATACCCTCTTAAAGCCCAGGCTACTTAAAAACAGCTCTCTGCTCCCTTCTGTGTTCTCTAATTGCATGCTTGGCAGCCTGTGTCACTCTTCGGGGATGGATTCTGGGACATTAATTCTGCGCCTGTAAAGGTTACTAAGGTGTGTGCACATTAGGTCCTTTGGTGGCCTGTCTGCTCTGCTGACACTTCTGCAGTGCCAGCATAGCTTGCCAGGACATGCAGTGTTCTGGTACTAGAAGTACCTTTTGGCTCTCAACTTGATTCATCCGTCCTAAGGCTCTAAGGCGTTGTTGTTCTTTTTTTTAATTAACTGGTCTCCCATGCACCTATAATGGTGGCAAATATGTAGAAGAATTGAAAATATAGGCACTGAGTCAGTCAGCTTTGTTGAGAAGGACCTACCCAAGAAAGACCTTCAGACCTGCCCCCTTTGCAGCATCAGTTTGGATCAGAGGTGGCTTAGCAGTCAGGAAATGGGGGTGTAGAAGGGAGGTACCTGTTATGGTGTGGGCTGTGCCGGCAGGACAGCACTGTATACCTGTCCAGGGTCTGGTCTACACGACAGAAGTCATGTAGCAACAGCCGGGGCTTTGTGTGCTTGGGCTTTTACAGGTTGGTTTTTGCTCTCATCAGTCTCCAGCTAGAGAGGCCCGAAAAGAGGGAGAAGGCACTGGAACTAACTGTAGCTCTGGATTTCAGTTTCAGCGGATGTTCTCTCCAGCTTCCTACAGACCTTGCACTCAGCTCTGCTGAATCCCACGCCTATGTGTCGGCCAGTGCTCAGCACCTTACTGTCCCATGACTTCTTCAGGTGAGGGCATCTTGTGCCATGCAGAAGAGAACTGGTTGCCTCGCAGCTTCCTATCACAGAAAGTTCTAGGAATTCTTAACTGTCATGAAGGAATTATATCCAGATTCATTGGAGATTTTGATTATAAAGAAACTAATGTGTGTGAAATAGTTATAGTTGTACGTTAATTGGGAAAATACAACTACAACTATTTCACACACTCTCCTGTCTGCTGCCACTGTATTACTGGTGTGTGTTCTTGAATATGCTGGTTCACTGGTATGTGTTGGGAGGGACAAGTTTGTGTTTCTCTGGCAGCAGACTGTTCCCTGTGTTCCAGAATATGTAGGCGTCAGTTAGAAGGAAGGGCGCAGTTTAATGCTCTCCTGGGTCCACAAGGTTAACTTTAATGATATGTTCTTCATTTCTGTAACTACAAACCTTGTGCCCAGATTAGTTCCATGTTTGTGAATTTTATTAACAAAGCTAACCTGATTTTTTTTTAAACAAAATAGCTTTTTGTGTTTGTACTTACAGAGCTGGAAAGGAAGCAGAGCAAGGAACGGCTCTGCTGCCCCTAAGACTAACCACCTCTAGAAAGACGCATGTTGGGGTTGTTAGTGAATTAGTGTCTGTAGTCACCAGGAGTAGAGTTTTCATTGGTGTTTCTAACTTTTCCAGTGTGACAGGTCATACCCTCCATTTATTCCTTAATTTGACAAATACAGTTGTATATATTTACAGTTACAATTATTATCATCATAAACATGCCTTTTCTTATACTTGTAGGTGACTCTTAGAAATACTCAATTTCTCATTGTAGCAAATTGTTACCCCTTTTCTTGCACTTGTAGGTGATTCTTAGAAATACTCTATTTCTCACTGTAGCAAATTGTTACCACTACATGTAATACATGTTCTTTAAGAAATGTGTGTTAGTATAGAGGGGGGGAAAATCAAAGACCACTCAAACCCACACTTCACACTTCCGACTGTGGCATGAGGAGTAAATGTGCCAGAGGCAACAGGATGAAGCAGGCCAGCATCCCTCACTGAGGAAACTGAGGCAGCTGAGCCGGTTCCCTTCAAGTAAAGACATTTGTGCATATGTTCTGCTGCAGAGGAAGGGGGAGACACTGCTGACTCTTGAGTGACATGGGTTTGGAATGCACAAGAACACTTGGATTTGACATGAATCTTTAAGGTGTAAAAAATTGAAACTCTGAGACAGATCTTAGAAATACCAAAGAAACAGATGTGTGATGAACACATAAAATAAATGTAGATAATCTATTTATCCTTTGGGTCCATGAAGTATATACAAGTTGTCTCTTCTAAGAAGTTAAAGTTTATGAATACATACTCATACATTTATAGAACATATATGCTACCATTTGCAATGAGACATGTAAACAAATGTAAAGATCTAGAGCAAAAAGCTCGTTGGAGCACATATTGTTGGTATGCTACAGCATTGCCGGTATCACCCTGAAACAGCATGTGATGTGGAGCATCTCCAGAAAAGCAGAAAAATGGCTTATACAGTACACAGTGCTTTTCTGAGTTTCTTACATATTTCAATGTGGTAATAGATGGTTTTATTAAAACTACTGGTCAACACTGGGCCCATGAAAATTAAGTTTTGCAAAAGTTAAAAGTCAAGTGGGTTTTTATGCAGAAGTCGTGGAAGTCAGTGTCCTAATGGTGAGTTGTCAAAGGGTCAGTCACATGGAGGTATTAACATGGGAAGGGCAGGAGTACCTGTGCATGCAGTGTAGGCTGCCAAGCTTATGTGCTTAACTGCCATGCAGTAGCTCCCATATGGTAGGATGTGAGCCATGCTCTCTTGGGACAGAACACTTTACAGGTTTGGGACTGTCTGTGAATTCCTCAGCAGCTGACTTTGACTGAGTGCAAAAGTCAGAAAACTGAGAAAATACCTGTGATTCCTACAGAAATTCCATTTCCCAAGTGTTTTTACTTCACCAAAGGAGTGACTTGGGAATCAGCAGCTCCTTTGAAGTAATTTTGCCATTTCACCCAGAAAAATCCATTTGCCAGAATCCTGTTACAGTAAAAAGTTTGGGAAAGTATGGTCACTACTGAAGCTTAAAGTACCCTACCATGTGTATTTCCATTTATGTCCTCTGGCAGATGCTCTGGAATTATTAAAACATTAGGGTATTCTAGGTTGGCTCCATTGTATTTATCTCATCAGCTACTTTGAATCTTTCTTATGATATAGAGAACATGTCTTCATTGGAAATGGTATATGGTCTGTGACAATAGCTTCAGTACCTAACATGCCTTTAATCTGCTGTCCTGCTGTTTTATTTTATTGCATTGCATTTAGAAATGATTTTCTAGAAGTTGTGAATTTCTTGAGAAGCTTGACATTAAAGAGTGAAGATGAAAAAACTGAATTTTTCAAGTAAGTTGAGAAGAAAACTTAAATCCACTAACTTGAATTAAACCTATGTAAGCATGTTGGTGATCTAGGGATGAATCAGCCTTCTGACTTCATGGTGGTTATTGAACTATCATACATGTTATATTTTCCACTGTGACAGGAATAGACTGTACTGGTAATGCAAGCATAGCTGGCAACTTAAATGTAAAGATGGGTGCAAGTCTTGCTTTGCTGGGAGGGAGATGGTTAGAGAAAAGCTCTGCTAGACAGACAAACAGGAGCTAATGCACTAAGGTAAGACCCACTGTAATTTGCAGCAAAGGGCAGCCCCTTGATTCCTGCTGGAGGGCAGATTTCAAAGCAAAGACAGGTAAGAGGTGGGCCTTATATTGCAAGGCAAAGTATTGATGTTATTTGTAGGTAGTGGACTTCTTGCCTTGAAGCCACTGAAGGAATGAAGGTAACCATAAGACAGCTAGATCTCTTTACTGATCATTCTGTTTGTGGAGGCAGTAAGGCTGGAGTCGAGAAATGGGTGGGAGAGGTGGAGGATTAGAGCATGTAACAAGCAAAAGTAAAGAACAAATAGCCAGTGGCAGTTAGAAGCAACAGATGGATAGCAAAACAGCATCAAGCCAGGTGACTAGCACATCTAGCAGAGAACGGTGGTCACATGACTAGATTGGAGACTAACAGCATTTTGTCCTCAGATTTCTGCTGGACAGAGTGAGCTGCTTGTCAGAAGAGTTAATAGCTTCAAGACTGGTGCCTCTTCTGCTTAACCAATTGGTGTTTGCTGAGCCAGTGGCTGTTAAAAGTTTTCTTCCCTATCTCCTTGGCCCTAAAAAAGGTGATTTTTTTCTAGTGTTATTAGTTATTAAGGAGTTAGTCCATTTTTGAGTGGGGTAATATTGCAGTATTCTAAAGTTGATGTTTGTTTCTAAAAGCACAGAACAACTCCTCCTCTCTAAGATGGTAGCTTGAACTCCAACTCAGGTACCAAAGCCCAGAGGTAAATACAGAACAGCTATTATCTTCCTGGAGAGTCATATTTACTGCCATACACTTTTTCATAACATTTTTTCAGTGTTTCATTTTCTGGCATTTATAAAAAGGTATTCTAGAGCCAGGTAGTGGTGGTGCACGCCTTTAATCCCAGCACTCAGGGAGGCAGAGGCAGGAGGATCACTGTGAGTTTCAGGCCAGCCTGGTCTACAGAATGAGTTCTAGGACAGCCTCCATAGCTACAGAGACAAAGTTTGTCTTGAAAACAAAGCAAACAACAACAAAACGGTGTTCTAGAAACCACTTACCCACTTAGATGATGTAATCATTCCCACTTGTTTCATGATTTGTGGGAGTTTTAGTTGAGGAGCCAAAATCATATAAAATAATCATTGGCAGAATGGGTTGAATATTTTACATACCTTTAGTTCCATCTTTTTTGTGTATGGACCCAGCTTTCTGGAGAGTAGAAAATTATGAAAAGTCCTTTCTGTATAAGCGGTTCCATACACAGAGAGGCAAACACAAATGCAGTGTGGTACATATATGAATTTTTAAAGGGTTAAGCCATATGTTGTTCTCAGGTTATCTTTTCAGTGAATCCTTAGGACTGTGCTTCCGCAGTTACCAAAAGCAACCCATGTTTTTAGTAATATTGGTGAAAATCACTTTATTTCTTGGAAAAAGTGATTGCTTGAAAACTTTGTAAGATTTATAAGACTTTCAATGGTGACACATCAGATTAGAGAACATATTTTTAATTTATATTTATACCTTACATGCATGGCTGGTCCCCATGGAAGACACTAGAGGGTACTGGATCCCCTGAAATAGGAGTTAGGAAGTTTGTAAACCAGTATGAATGCTGGGACCTGGGTCCTCTACAGTCATCATTGTTCTTAACCAGTAAACCTCCTGCCCTGTACCCGAGTTCATTTTCTTAAGTGGTGTCATGCCAACAGATACTATGGGTAGTTATTTCAGTTTAGAATTGCATTTATCGCTGGGTTGAATATACGTACTATAGTCTTGAATTTTCCCTTAGAACTCTCCATCCTCACTGTGAATTTGAGAGAGGACACGAGTCACCCGAGTGCTCTTTAACAATGAGCCTTTTTCTGGCTCACTGGCTAGGAACAGACAGGATGCAGAGAGCACTTGAGAGAGTAAAGCCTTTAAATAATTTTAAATCCACATAAATTCTTTTAGCTTGGGGCTTAAAATTTTAGACAAATACATAAAATGTGTAAAATTCTGAACTCAGTTGACGAATTCTGTTCTTTACCCTTTTCACTGAATGACTGTTGTCTGTACCTTCTGATTTGGGGTAGAGAATGCACCAGGGGAGACTCCTTGCTTGCTCTCGCCAGCACTGTTCCAGTCACGAGTGATTCCTGTGCTTCTCCGGTTGTTTGAGGTCCATGAGGAACATGTGCGGATGGTGTTACTGTCCCACATCGATGCCTACGTGGAGCACTTTACTCAGGAACAGCTGAAGAAAGTCATCTTGCCACAGGTCAGGACCAAGCTGGCAGTGAGACAATGAGAGAGTGCAGGCAGAGTGGAGTGAAAGGAAGGTTTTCAGATAGAAGTTCACAAAGCCTTGAGACAGCAATTGAGTTTAAAAGTTACTAAAATACAAAGAGGTGAAATTGTATTTTCAGTCCAGTCTTCTTGGCAAGTCAATTAACCTAAGATGTTTAGTCTTAATCTGTGAGTAACTATGATTCTGTTTGTTAATCTTGGAGGTAAATGAATGAGAAGCCTAAGCAGACCCATAGCCCTTCACTAGCATTTGTGGAATGGTAACTACATTATGGTAATTGCCACAGAGAGCATGAGATTATTACTAGTGATTTTCAGCCTGCTTATCCACAATAGGGAATGTTAGAATTTGCTCAACCAAGGCTTGTAATCATTTTTTATGCCATAAAAAAATATTAGAGCTGGGTGTATGGTACATGTCTTTAACCCCACCACTCAAGAGATAGAGGCATGTAGATCTCTAATAAGTTTGAGGCTAGTCTGGTCTAAAGATCAAGTTTCAGGACAGCGAGGTCTGTTACATAGAGAAACCCTGTCTCAAAAAAACCAAAAAGTTAAAAAAATTAACACAGTAGCATGAATCAAAATAACAAAAATTTATCTGAAGCTTTGGAGAAATCAAGTGTGAGATCAAGGTGCAGCTGCTTCTGAGTGCTTGCATAGCATAAGCTCTGATGCTCCCTGAAACAGGATTTAGTGTATGTATCTTGTTGGGCAGCTGTATAAGTCCACACCCATTTTCATGGAGCCATTGCTCCAGGGCTGGCTCATAATGTGACTGTTTGAGGTGGTGGCAGGGGTTGGCAATCCATGACGGATTGGGAGGGCAAAAACATTCTTTCCAGTAGTTAAGAGAACCACTGACTTTAGGAAAATATCATTCACTTGAAGAAACATGGCTGCAGGCCAATTCCTTTCCAGGAGAGAAAGACAGTGGTTGTCTACACACATCACCGATTTTGCTCCTAGGTATTACTGGGCCTTCGTGATACCAGCAATTCCATTGTGGCAATTACTCTTCGTAGCCTGGCAGTGCTGGTATCTCTGCTTGGACCAGAAGTGGTTGTGGGAGGAGAAAGAACCAAGATCTTTAAGCGCACTGCTCCAAGTTTTACCAAAACTAGTGATCTTTCCCCTGAAGGTAAGAGTAAACATTTCATTAGGTTTATGATACAGGTTTTATGTTGAGGTAAAGAAGCATGAGTAAAGTTCAGTTTCCCTTTTCAAACTTCTCCTAGTGGGTACAAAGTGACATTTAATGGTTTAGTGAGAATCTTTTTTTTTTTATGAACACACAAAGGGATACATATTTTTTTACACTCAACACATGTGGTTTTTATAAGATTATATTTAATGATGCTGTGCATAAGTCTACAGCTTATTTTCATGTATTACATATTAAAATGTTTCCAGGTCAATACATAGAAACTTACCTCATTTTTATACCTAATATTTCACTGAATCCAACTCAGTGATTTATAGCCATAGCTGTTGATGCACTGCTAGATTTTTAACCAGTGTATAAACTGTAGTATCATGAGTACTTTCACACGTGTGTCTGCATTATGTGGGGTTCCACTGCCATTGGATAGTCTCGGAAGTAGCCGTTGTAGGCCTGAGAATATAATGGAATTTTAGTAGGGACTATTAAAGACTGTTCTTTTTAACACTAGATAGTTGAGTTCTTTTGACTTTGTTAGATTGTTGGGTAAAAGCTATTTTTTGAGTACTTCAGGAAATCTGAGATAACACAAGAATTTTGTATCAACAATGTCATTTCCTTTTTGCTACTTTGTGACCTTGAATAGCACCATGATTTCATTACAAATTCTGCTCTCTCTCTAATACAGTTCTTTGGCTTGTAGTGCTAGGCCCTGAGGGCTGAGGGTGAAGAAAAGAGAGGTGATAGAGAGAGCTGAAGCCTTATAATGACAGTTGACTCCCCTTACCCTAGCTTTAAGGTAGGGGAAATATTCAGCTGTAATATTACTAAATCTTTCTGATCAATATCCAATCTTGAATGTAAGCTTTCTGGTAAACTGTTAAGGGCAGCTACTTTCCTCACTCAAAGTCTAATATCCATAGCATACATTATTTTAATTGTTTTCAATATATAGTTTTGTGGTACTAAGTCACTAATATTATTTGGCTTGTATTCTTACTAGCCTTTTATTCTTAAAAGGAAGTTAGAATTAAGGTCTTAGATTGCTACCAAAATGATTTTAAGAACTGTAATCTACTTCCCTAAAGATTTCACCAATGTACTGCTTCATAGTTTTATCCTATCACCACCCTGCTCAGTGGACACAGCCTGTCTTAAACCTTCAGAGACAGGTAACCCATTTAGTAATGGCTTGGAGTCAAATATTTGATGATCTTTATCTGTGCTACACATACCTATCTCCTTTGACTGTTGTTCACCAATCAAGTGCTAGATCAGTAAGCACATCCTCTTCCACTTTCTTCAGGTTCTCCCATGCATATTGTGTGCGGCCAGCAGAGTCAGAGCTCACAAGTCTTGGACAACCCCTCTTCTAATGCATTCCCTAAATGGCTGTTTTCTGGCAACGTGCCCATTAACAGCAAGAAGCACACACAAGGAGAGTTTCACAATACTCTCTTACAGACAGGTAAGGATTTTTACTGAGTTTCCCATTGCTTCAATCTACTTCTGAGAATATTAAGCTTAAAATTTGAAAATCAAGTGCATTTTTTAATTCCTCTATCTTTTTTACCTCTCCAAACTGTTGCGTATATACCTAACCCTTTCCACATGAGTAAACATTACTGAATTCATTTTTGTATCAGATACTTTCGTGTTCTTATGTCTTCTGCATCATAATATACCAAAAGTAAAGAGTTTATTAATAAAGTGACAAATGTTCTGTGTGGTAGCAGAGTAAACCAAGATTTCTTAGCACCTTGATGACATTTGATAAGTCTGTTTCAGACTTACTTGGGAGCTGGAAAGATGGCTCAGCAGTTCAAAGAACAAATTATTCTTGTAAGAGACACAAGTTTGGTCCCCAGCACAGGCCTCTAACTCAGCTCCAGGACATCCAATGCTTCTGGCCTCTGTTGGCACTGTACTCAGCTGTGTATACCCCCACACACACATATACAAACATGTAATTAAAAATCAATCTTTGAAAAATAATAAGATGGGCTGGGGAGATGGCTCAGGAAGTAAAAGCACTTGTGGTAAAAGGCTAATAACCCAAGTTCAGTTTTTGGAACCCACATAAGGTAGAAACCAACTGCATAGCTGTCCTTTGCCACCACACCTGCACTATGGCATTCATGAACCCAGAATGTGGGGGAGACCTCAGAGCAAATAACTCTTTAAAGAACTTACTTGAGTACACATGTTTAGATGTAATTGCTACCTCAAGGGTAAGTAAGACTGCATCTGTATTTATTTAGAAAGACTTATGGCATGAGTGTTTACATGTTTAGTGAAAGATCTAATGATCAGTTGTGACATGGTATTTCTTCCTTTGAATGTAATTGGAGAACTTATATGGCATCCTTTGTCTAACTTTTGCTAGTGTGCATGAATATTTCTAGGTAATTAGACCTACACTTATCTGCTTGCTCTTGACATTTTATGAGACTAATTCTTACATATACCCATAGGTGATCAGTTTTCTCACTCTATTAAATTCCCTGTGAATGGAATCTCAGATGTGAAAAACACCTCAGAAGACAATGGAAACTTTGCAGCAGGTTCTAGCAAGCCTGAAGAGTGGCCTGACTGGAGTGAGCCTGAGGAGCCTGAGCACCAAACTGCCAATATTCAGATAGGGCCCCAAACACCCTGTGATGGAGCTGAGTCCCAGCACACTAATCTGAATGTAGAGGAAGAGTCTTGGGATGACTGTGAGTCTAGTGTTGGTACCGAAGTAAACTCAGTGGCTGGAGCCTCTGCTGCCATGCCTGTTACCTCAGGGGAGGAGATGCACACTGCAGCTTTGCTTCCTCTCACTCAGGAGTCTAAGCCTTTGAAATCCAGTCCTTCCTCAAAGACCAATCATATGCAACACGGAGAAGTCAAACCACCAGAAGTGTCCCAGGAAAGACCCCTTAAGGTTCGGTCAGAACTTGGTTTAGGAGAAGAGTTTACCATACAAGTAAAAAAGAAGCCAGTACAAGATCCTGAATTGGACTGGTTTGCAGATATGATCCCAGAAATTAAGCCTTCAGGTACTTTCCTTATTTTGCCTGAAGTCAGGACAGAAGTGATGGTTCCTGACAAAGATAACATCTCACCAGTGATGCAGTTTTCCTCAAAATTTGCTGCACCAGAAATGACTGAGGTGAGTTCATTCTTTGAACTAAATGTGCTAGTTAGGGTTTCCCTTGGAGGACCTAGTTAACAATAAACAAGTAGTTTTCTCAATGAAGGTATTGTACACAGTTGGTTAAAATGATGAAATTAAACCTAGAAGCAACAAAACCAGTTCCTAGAAATGATTTCTTGACATGACACACAGCACTGTCATCAACAAAGTTCACAATTAAAAACTGTACAAAAAAAAATCAAATTACTAAACTAAAATCTTGGGGTTGGAGAGATGGCTCTGGTTAATAGTACTGGCTATTGTAGAGGACCCAGGTTTGATTCCCAGCACACTCATGATGCCTCACAACTGTCTGTAACTCCAGTTACAGTAGATTCCATGAATCTGACCTCTACAGGCACACAAGTGGTGTGTAGAAATGCATGTGTACAAAACACCATACACAGCAGATTAATCTTTAAAAGAAACCTCATTATAAATCTTTTGTATTCTGCTGTCCTTGGTCATGCCTGGGTCCACCTGCTGTATGAGTAACTCCTTGACTTGGGAAAAGAATCTGACCAATTTTACTGGAATGTACAATTACTTTCCAGTGGGCGTGGTGTGTAACATTACAACCAATGCAATCTCACTTTAACTTGTGATTAGTTGATCTTATTGTGTGGCAGTCAGTCTCATCTACTACTGTAAACAAATGGGTCATTTTCAAATGCCTGGTGTATATAACCTGCCTCAGACATTTGGTGTGTTATGTTGCAGGGAGAAGCAGAGGGCTGGGAAGAAGAAGAGCTGACCTGGGAAGATAACAGCTGGTGATGATAAGGAAGAGCTTAAGCTTCAGGGATAATTCCAAAGGAAGTAATACCTCAAAGCAAGCCGCGTGGATGTAAAACCCCAAAGCAGCCTGCATTCCCCATGCCAGAAGCTCTTTTTGCAGTCTGTGCCAACTCAAGCATGAGACCAACCTCAAGTTGCTTGACTAAGCCCTGGATGGCAGAAGGCTCTTGGTGCCGGATTCTAGGAGGAAGAGCCTGTGTGCACTTGACCAAGGCCAGTTCCCATGCAAAGTAAGTAGCTAAAGAAGTGCTTTTTCCAGGACAATTCTGGAAGTAAAGAAAATAAAAATTCAAGCTGGTAAGCTTAAATTTGTGCCATTTCTTTAAAAGTAGAAGAGTATAAGTTCTATTATGAAATAATGACTTACTGAAAAAAAATATAGCTGTAAATGATAACTTCAAACTGCTAAGGCTCCTTGAGCAGCTTATTTATTTGTTTACAGTTTATCATCTGAGTAAAAGAAAGGTCCCTCCTTTGGACCTGCGCAGTTACTGTTTCGCCTGTATTACACTGTACCAAAGTTTTGAATGAGAAATGCCCCATCTTATTATTCTATGTGAAATAGTTTTTCACATTTATAAAAGCTTTTATATGTGCAATGAAAACATACAAACATAATTTACATTCATAATTTCATTTACAAAATGTCTAGGCAAGGCACTTGATGAAGAATCAATTCAACCCATTCATGTGTTACCCTCAGGTATACAGCATTTTAGATTCTCAACCTTTTCTTGCAGCGCCTCCAGTTTCTTTAGCAGCCAGGCTGGCGCGGGGGACTGTTGGAGTAACAACTCAGTTGTCTCCAAAGCCTCTGCTGCTGCTTGAAATGCTGCCTTAAACTCTTCCTCCAAGGGGAACTCATGCCGGGCTCTTTTAGTACAAGGCTGGAAATGAGGAAAGCATGAAACAAGTAATGTCAGACACTCATTCTAAAAATAATTTAAGAGAAACTGCAGTCAAGGGATCACAAACAGCACCCTCCCCATCTATAATGATATCTAATCCTAATTGGATATGGCAGCCAAGGAGAAGAACCCTCTTATGCTAGGATCCCCAGTGACAAATGCTGTGTTTTCCAATGCCTCTTCTTTTTTTTTTTTTTTTTTTTTTTTTTTTGTTTTTACGAGACAGGGTTTCTCTGTATTGTTTTGGAGGCTATCGGTCCAGCCCAGCCTCGAACTCACAAAGATCCACTTGCCTCTGCCTCCCGAGTGCTGGGATTAAAGGCGTGCGCCACTATCGCCCGGCCCAATGCCTATTCTTTAAGAACACCATTAAGAGAAACAAAATATGATTTTCATAATACTATGTTTGTAAATGAGAACTATGGTTTCCAACATGCTTTTGGGACTAGCTGAGGAAAACTAAGGCTCAAAATATCTTGCACAAGGAGAGGGAAGAAGAAATGAGACCCAGACATATCTAGTAATCGATTTTCCAAAGGGGTATCTCAATTTAAATTCATAGGGCTTACGAACATAACTGATTTATATCGAACTTTATATATTTCAGGCTTACAGATACATCTTTAAAAAAATTACTATTGCACTTATATAAACTTAGAACATTGTTCTGTTACAATCTGAAATTCTAAATTTAAATGATATCTATGTTAAAAACACAACTTTGAATGTATGTAGTAGTGTCAAATTTCTGCCCATTAAAAGGTACATGTGATACTTAGAGGAAAGTGATTATGAGGCTGGCTTGAGGAGACAAGAGATGAACTAAACATGCTGACATCTGCCAGAAAATGCATTTATGTCATCATTGGTACAATATGTAACTTCTAGGAATAAAGAGTATATTTGGTATAATGTTTACAACTATTTTTGTAGTTCTTATCTGTGTTGGTTAGCATTTCAAGAAAAATGTATGGTTTTTTTGACATGCAACTACCATTAAATGGGAATTTTTATGTGTCTAGATTTTATTTGATATTCAGCATAGGTATAAGAATCAAACTAGTTTATCAGTAATGATGGCAGAAGTTCCATCGTTTGACCATCAACCATACGGAAAAGCAGCCCATACCTGTAAAGCAGACCCATCTGCTTCTTCTACAGTCACCTTGGCAGTGGATTCCCAGGAAGTGTCTTCCTCCTGTTTCACATGGTCCACTCTGGCAGCTTCAGTTTCATCTACAAATCCTGTCTGTCAAAGATCAACAAAAAACACTGACTCATTAGCATTCTCTACTAGGTACCAAGTAGTATGAGACTTAGAAGAGAAAAGGACTGACTAGTTTATGTGTATGTCTATAATTGCTGAGTATTAAACCATTCTGGCTTAACATAAATTCTAAGTTAGATAGACTCATCTTTTAGTATGACCTAAATACAATCCTTTAGAGCAGTGATACTGACTCTTCCTAATGCTGCCACCCTTTAGTACAGTTCCTCATAATTTGTTTCGTTGCTACTTCATTAACTGTAATTTTGCTACTGTTATGAGTCATAATGTAAAATACCTGATATGTAGGATATTCAATATGTGATCCTGTATTGGGAATGTCTTGACCCACAGGTTAAGAACCAAAATGTTCTTAGAATGCCTTAGAAGGTTCTTCACTACAAGTTGTCTCTCCAAGCCAAGTAAAGTATGTTAACATTCAGCTTATTGTACAGGGTATGGTGCTGACAAAACAATTACTTAGTACACATGTACAATCCAGTCTAGATGTACTAACTCTTAATACATACACATATTATGTTTAGTAACAACTCATAAGAGATCTACAAAATACATAAAACTCAGTTAAATATATGCTTAGGTATACTTTACATTTCCTGATATTCTAAGTCTGTGGTTTGACAGGTCTGCTTATTAGTATTTCAGTTACCCCCTTATATCACAACACCAGAGTATATAGTGGATCCCTATACTTAAAATATTTGACTGTACTGAACAATTGTAGAAACACCACATCACACACCCTTAATTCCAGCACTCAGGAGGTAGAGACAAGAACTCTGAGATCAAAGCCAGCCAGGGCTACTAAAGTCTCTGCATTTTAGAAAAACATACTAAAATTATTAAAAACCATGTAATCATTTATAGGCAATTATGATCAGCAATGTTAGGGATCCATACTTTTTATCTTATTGTCAAGGTTATCAATGCTATTATCTTACTTATAGGTGCAGTGACTTGAAAAGTGATTTACGCTCTGATACCTTTTATGTTTATACAAAACACTTCAGATTTCTTTCATAAACAATCAGATACTGTGGGGATAGGCTCCAAGAATTAACATGAAATTCATATACCATTTCTAATTTTATACAATATTTTTTAGTAATTTTATGCATAAACTAAGGTTTCACTATAAGGTATTTTGTATGTTTTTTCTTCATATGGGTGGTTCACAAAGTTTCAGATTTTGGAGTACTCTGGATTAGGGATGCTTACTTAGCCTATCTGTATTAGCATTATGTAAAACACTCTTAAGGCTGGAATTGTAGCTCAGAAAAATCACTTGTCTAGCATATGCAAAGCCCTGTTTCAAATCCCAGTACCAAGAAGAAAATGTTTAAACTAAGGTGATTATAAGTAGATAATTTAAAAATATATGATAAAGAATAAAACATGGGCCTTATACATAAATAACAAATACCTTCTCCAAAAAGGCTACAACTTTGTTCTTGATTTCTTCAGAACGGAGACACTGTGGAACTATCTCTTCATGGTTTGTTCCCTATTAAAAGATCAGTAAACAAGACATAGTTCAGCAACTTGTGAAGGTGAAGACAATGAGTTTAACTACCTTAACTGAAAACTCATTTTAAAAGAAGTACCGGGAAAGGGGGGGGGGGTGTTGAGAGCTAGCTAGCTCAGAGCTTGAGAGTACTGGCTGCTCTCTTGAGGTCCTGACTTTGGTTCCAAGCAACCACATGGTGGCTCATAACCATCTGTCAAGGTCTGGTGCCCTCTTCTGGCCTGCAGGAATACTTGCAGGCAGAACAGAACACTGTATACATGATAAATAAATCTTAAAAAAAGATGACCCAAGGATTCTCAGAGTTCTACAGAGCCTTATGTAACATTGGCCTCTATATACACAGTGCTGCAAGGCTTAATTACTTGAGTCACTCTTAAACCAAAGCCATGACTTCATAGAAATGGATCAGAGCAGAAGCAATTCCAAAGAGAAGTTCCCCCAGTCCTGCTGAAGGCAGTGTCTAAGACAGGCAGTTGACTCAGAATGCTTACCTTGCTAATCAGAGGACCTTGAGAAAAGTCACATTTCTCTAGGCCTTATAATGAATCTTTGTAAACATATGATTAATATCTGCTCAGCAGAAAATTTTACAACTGAGATACATAAGTAGCTCAATATCTTTAAATGTTTTAGAATATCAGAAATATTAAAATATAGAAATCAATATGATAAAATGGTCTTACCTCAGCAAACTGAGTAAATGCCTCCAAAGTGAGTTGCTCTAGAAGCCAATTCCTGTTGGCTAGCAGTAAAGCTAGAATACAAGACAGGTTGGGCAGCAGCTTGTCCTACAAAGGGAACCAAATCTTGCTAGAGAAAAAAACTTCAAAACAGGGATACAATCAACTTTTGGGACACATGTTCTCTATTCCTTGCTTAAATAACTTGCTAATAACTTCCATTTCCTTCCAGGTAAAACAACAGGTTTACAATGGCCCGCAAAGCATCACCAGCCAATGCTATACTTAACAACACCCTGAGTAATCAGGCATGTTATTGTCTGTGAAGCTTTGTACTTGTTCTCTATCCCTGCTCAGAAGTCTTCCAGAGAGCCATGGCTTTCTCCTTCCCTTTCAGATTTATACTTACTATCGCCTTAGTGTAAGGGTGTAACTACCCCCTCATACTGCCCCCTCTCTTCTACTTTATTTTCTCCCATAGCACTCATCACCATAACTTTGTTGTCAGCTGCTTCAATGGACTGATACTAGGGGTTAAGTTATTACACTGTCAGTAGTAAAAACAGCACCTCTAGCTTGTACCTGTCTTACATCTATGAGTGTCGCAAATGTTCATCAATCTCCCATCTCTTCAGGACTTGCCCTTATCCAGCCAGGTCTACAAGACACTGCTATTCTGACAATAAAGCATTTATTGTATGGGTTCTGTGGCCATGCACCACCTACAGATCATCAGGAACAAAACGGCACTCTAGAATAAACTTATTTTATAATAAAGAATACAAATTTGAAACCAGCCAGGGCTACATGTTGAAACCCTTTCCAAAAAGAAATAACAGCTCAAATGCAAATTGGTAATTCTTTCAAAAGAAGAAAAGCAGTCACCGTCCATGTTTATCTCATGAAACACAAGTTTACATGCTAGAAACAGATGAGTTTGTGTCATTTTTTTGTGAAGAAGTAAAATAAACCTTCTGAAATTCAACTTGGTTTCACAGATTTTTATCCCTGTGTACTGAAATACACACTGCACACTGAAAAGGCTCTCAGTAGAGAGCTTTTTATAGTAACCCCTTTGAATGTAAAACAAAGCCAAGAATCTAGAAACACTGGGACTTTATTATAATAAGACAAAGACAAAGCTCCCAGTTTAAGAGAATCTAATTTTGTTAAAAGGTCTTAAAGTCTTGTAGTCTTTCCCTAGGCTACTAGAATATAATTTTGGAAGCAAAATACACACTTCTCAGCAAAAATACTTTACAATATTGTAAATACTGTCTCTAAAAATAAGTGCTGTTTCTTGAATCTACCCACACAATTAACTAATTATCAAATTTCCTCACTAGACATTATTGTTGCCTTCTTTAGATACTGGGACACAACTATATCTCAGAATACAGTAGACAACTTGATAAATTATTTGAATGCCAACTCTTATTTTTTAAAAGAAAATTACTTAAGGTTGAGGCAAGAGAACTGCCTCAGGTTGTAGGCCAGGCTAGGCTATAGTGTGAGACCCTGTCTCAAAAACAAACAATAACCAAAAACTTAAAATTCCCCTAGCTCTTACAGAGATTATATTACCTGGATAGCCGGAGGTATATAAAGTTTGCCCAAAGAAGATATAAAATCCATCACGGCCAGACAGACATGGTCAGGAGGCTCTAATTTAAGTAGTGAGGTCAGTAAAGTTACTACCTGAGGAGGTAAAAACGAAGAGCAGTTGTTAAGTACCCTGGTGTGGTTGTGTAGAGAAGGGAAAGACGACAAAACCTAGACCAGTCAGTCTATAAAGCCTCAATTGTGGAAGTTGAAGACGAACATCAGATGAAAGAGTTGTTCATATTTCTTCTCACCCTAGTCTCTTGCCTCCAGCTTGTGTGCTTTGCTAATAAGCAATCAAAAATTTGTGTAGTGGTTAACTGCCCAGGAAATAGCCAAGTAGGAGTCCTGGTGTTGTGCTGAGCCCTGCATTCATGCAGTACTTTCAAAGGCACTGTCAGCAACTAGCTATGAGGTTACACAACACTGCAGCCATGAACTTAAGGGTGAGCCTGAGTTTCCTTGAAAAGATAAGGCTGGGCCAATAGTCCATGTTACACATATAGTAACTGGATACACCTAATTAGTACTTGCTTGCTAGGCTAATTTCTTTATATGTACAATTAACTGAAATAAGCTAAAAACTTTACTCATTTTATGTTCCAGTCCATTCCATTTCTTCTATACTTTTCCTAAATAAAAAGTTAGCTCTCATATATTTTTTTCTGCTTCCTGACCCTGAACTAAATATGGACTCATTCTGAAGCTCTGTCACTTCAGATAACAGGGAGAGAGGCATTCCCATGCTTTGTTGCCTCAGAAGCACTACCTTTAGAGACACTCCAGACCGTAAATATACCTATGCCCAGTCAGGTAAGCTGGG